TTTTCCCCCTTTCCCTACATCTTCACAGAAAGACTACAGCTACTCTCCTTCCAAGTTTCATTTAATTGGCCATAGTCTTGGAGCACATGCTGCAGGGGAGGCAGGGAGAAGGAAACCTGGCATTGGAAGAATAACAGGTACTGAAGCTATTTCAATTGATAAAGCTTAATACCTCCACAGGAAGAGAAAACAACGTAAAAGAGCTGAAGAATCACTGCTGTCTGAGAAACCCACAATATAAACTGCACTATGCAGCAGTATGCTGGCATGAACACACATAAATGAAGCCATGTCCTATCACATGCCACACATCTTACATGTCACCATTCATGGCCCTCAGAAAAGCTAGACTGGAACAGAGTCAGAATAGCTTCATTGTCCCTACTGTGGCTAAATATAGGTCCGTTTGCATAGGTCACAACAAATCTCAGAGAGCACACTACTTATGACTTTCAGTGATACTAAAGAGTGGGAGCCAAATATTGTATTACATGTGGAGTAACAGATTTGTAAAACATTAGCAACTCGTTATCAATTTTTTTTTAATCCACTCTATTAGAAGTTTTTAGTTCAGAAGATTGGAAATTGAAATGCAAAATTAAAAATCTATATCTGATATGTTAGAAATTAGAAAAAATAGCCCTGGATACCCCAAGAAAGAAGACAGTGATTAGCTGCATAGCTACGCAGAGAGGTGCAACATCATAATACACTCACACATCACTTCTTTAATGTCTCAGTATTTTCTACTTCCCTTTCTCCTACAGCCAGTTCTTCTGTCTATGTATATTGCTTTGACTGAGCTGTATACACAGTATGCAGTAAAATAAGTAATTTAGGGAAGCAGGATCTGAATTCCAGTGTTTTAGTCCGAAAAAAGAGCCCACTGACACTAAAATGAAGAGAGTAAAATTTTCAAAAAAATTTTTTTGCAACTAAAAATAGATTTTTGACCAAACAAAAATTCTCAGACAAATCTATATCCTCAGAGTAACTTATCTAGGCTTCATATTTTTCACTAATGTGCAAAAACTCTCAAACTTCTGACATTTTTCCCCCCAAATAAGTCAAACATTTTCCCATCAGTCTTCTCATATGCTGCAATGCCTCCAGCCACCTTCTGGAAACCCTGCATGTTTTGCTAGCTTTCATACTTCCATATCAGTATAACTTTGGCAGCACGAAATGGAATTTTATAAACAGAGTATAAGTGGAATTGCAACGAAATATGCTGTTTGCACATTGAATATGATGAGATATACATACCATATCGTTTACTCAATCAGCCACGTCTCCATTTTATTTAGGTTTGGATCCAGCTGGGCCTCTTTTCCAATACACACCAACAATGGTTAGGCTGGATCCTTCAGATGCAAAATTTGTTGATATAATTCACACTCATGCTGGTCATCTGTTCTTTGACTTTGGTAAGTTTTCGCATTGGAAACAACTTCTACACTGAAGTTTGCCATGGCCTTTCAGAAAGTGATCAGCCTTGAAACGTTTAACATATTTCAGCTCCAGGGATTCTTCAGACTTGTGGCCACCTGGATTTTTACCCAAACGGTGGGAGGAAAATGCCAGGATGCAAGGAACTTCATGCAACTCCTGCAACTCGGAATATCAATGACCTTATGAGAGGTAAATATATTTTAAAGCAGTAATGCCTCATTACAAGCTACAGTTTGAAATAAAGGCTAGGCTAAGATAAAGACTGCTAGATCGAAATATTACTTACATACAGATTTGGAGTAGGGAGAAACGATCAAATATGAAATATTTAAAGCTGCCTGTGAAATGTCCTCTGATTTCCTTGTATGCAGATGAGAACTTCAGTTAAAGCATACAGACTTGTTTATTACAGCCTGTTTCTGAGAGTCTTCCACTATGCTAACTGCCTGACTTCAGTGGCAATTCCATGCATGAAGGACTGGTAGAATTTCACTCAAGTATAATCCAAAAAGAAATATTTTAAACCTGCTTTCCTTCTTCCTAGGAAGACATCAGTCCCAATGTTACTGAGGCTAGACATACTTAACCATGTCACTAACAGCTTTAGTGTCTTCAAAGAGAACAGCACAAGATGAAAAATATTGAAGATGATAAAAGGGCTACTGCAGTGATTGTTCTTCAAAGAACGCTGAACAGTTAATTATAATTATCGTGGGACCTAGTACAATAGATCCACAAAATCCTATCTTCTGTCCTAACCTACAGAAATAAGAATATCTGTTATTCGCAGCTAAATGTTTTGAAATTCCTACTCCTAGTTAAGTAGTTAGCTTTCAAAAATGACCTGACTTTTGCTTTGCTAAAGTAATTTTAGGAGTGGTTTAAGAACTTAGTAACAAAGCAGACCGAAAGACTGCTCTGCTGGGCCTGTTTTCTTCAAGTGAATATATTCAGTGCTGAGTGCTAATTTCAGATACTGTGTGTATGAAATCATGAGATGTCAACTTAGTAATATGGGAATGACTGGTATAATGGAATCTTACAGTGACATGAAAGTGATTTTTTAAATGCCTTTGTGAAATCTCCCAACTTGCCTGATTTTCCTCCAACATTGAAGAGCTTTTCCCTTTCTTCCTCTTCAAAAATGTGTTCCTTTTTGAAGAAAATCTTCATATTTTATCAAAAAAACAAGAGAGACTAATTCAAAACATTTCTATTTGTATAGCTTGCAGGGGATTATTATGGAAACTGTAGACTGTTGACACAAAATCATTTGGAACAAAAACACTTCTAACTTTGACCACAAAAGAAATGTTTCAATTCTCAGCAAAAATTAAGAATTTTCCATAGTCATTTCACAAGGCTGCTTACAATGTTTTGCAGTGAAATAAAGGCCCAGCTCTATTGAGCAGGAGCAGATGGAGGGGAGTGTTCATGCAGTTCCTAAACATAGAGACAACCTTACCTCCTGCCTCTCATTTAAACCTCACTTTGTGCATATTTCTTCTGTTTGATAATGTCTACATTTATGTGGTGCTTTTACGTATAAAGTGCTTTAGAAATGCTACTTAGTAACTTCTCTCCATGGCTTTTAATACAGGGGGGAAAGCAGGTTATGATCCCATTATACAGATGTTAATTGACTTTGGCACTAGCAAAAAGTAGGCTGGTAGTAAGATTCTTAAAGTTAAAAGCATAATAGACTCTTCTGAGTTAGATTAGAAGAAGGAACTATAAAGTAAACATACCCAGGAAGCCTTGATGATCCAGATCATTTTCAAGAAATGGAGACAGAAATACCTTTCAAAGTTTTCTCTTCTTCTTCTTCTTATGTAAAGAACAATATGTATCAACTGGTCAATATCCACTGCTCTTCCTTTAAGATGCATAAATACTGACTGTAGATGAAATCCTGATTTCACTGTAGTCTGTGCCAGCTCTCAATTACTTCAGTGCCTCCAGGGCTTCACTCTCTAATGAGATGAGGCTCCTTTTCCACACTGAAGCAGAATAGAGCCTATTTTTATACAGTTGAACTTCAGTACGTTGTGCTTTGACAAAAAAGAATCTTCAGAGACATTGAAGACAATAGCTATAGCAAAGGACCTGTAAATATAGTCCCAAAAGCATTTCTTCTTCGCAGCACTGAGTGCTTATAAATTTCACTCTGAGGGGAAAATGTACTTGTTTCAAATAATTCTGATAAAATCGAGGACAAACTGCCAAGCATCTTGCTATTTAGAGCATTTCACAACATCACCAATGTCAAATGACTGCAGATTTTCTAGAGCTTAAAAACAGTGAAAGCCACTGAAGTTACAACAATTACAACGATTACCTTTAATTTTAGAAATTAGTGGAAATTATGGTTTTACAAAATACCATGTTGTGATAATGCTAAGCAAATGACAACTACTTCATGGCAACTACTATACACTTTGCAAATGCTGTACCTATGAATTACTCCAGTCTTTAAAATATCAAAGGAAAATTCTGCTAAGTCCTCCTCTGTTCTCATGCTAAACTAGAAGCAGTGAACATATAGTAGGACTGGAGGCTGCATGAGTTTTGCATCTCTACCCTTTGAGCTTCTGTATAAGCACAGGGAAACACTTGGGCAGAGTCAAGCCTAGCTTTTCCCCACGTAAAATGCGTATGTAGCTGCAAGCATACTTTTTACCATAAACCAAATAATTTACACTTTAAAAGTCTTTTCAGTTATTACTGTTTTTGGATCTGAGACTTCACTATTTAAACAAATGCTTTGAGCAAAAAAGACCCATATGTGCTTTCTCGGTGTGGACTTTATGGCTACCATATAGCTTTAATCTTTCTTATCCGGGATTTTCCCCAGACTATAGGTCTATTGGATGTGGACATAAAAGAAGTCTCCAATATTATGCTGAAAGCATTATCACTCCAAATGGATTTGTTGGGTATCAGTGTGAAACATACCGAGATTTTGTATCAGTAAGTATCAGGTACAAATTTATCTGAGGAGGACTAAGAAGGTTATAGCCCTTCTCAACTAAAACTTCCTGGGATAGCTTCTACACTCTAAATCATGTGATAGAGGGTGGCTATACAGACCCACGGACAGCAATGCTCTTATCCAGATCCTAGCCAAACAGGGCAAAACGTAAATGCAGCAAAACCAAAAAAGATCCAGGAGAACATGAGGACTGTTAGGTACGCACACCAAAGAGAGGTTCAAAGAGGGAGATGAAGAGTTAAGAGTACGAGGCAAATATGAGAGGCAATGGCTGGGTTCACGTTTTGCGTAGGCCAGCAGTAAGGGACATTCTGGCTAAAGGAAGTCCATTTAAACCAGGGCCTGATTACCCTTGTGGAACCCATCATCAAGAGCTGACACAGAGAACAGCCTCTGGATTTCACAAATGTTTAAATGTTTGTACAAACAATAAACAACCACGGTATTTAGATGAGGGGAGACAAATATTTATACAGCATAGCAATGCTTACACGCACAAAACAACCCTTAGGTACCACAAGAAAGAAGGCAATAGAACTTTCTAGTATTTCTTGCCTGCTATAACTGGGCTTTCAGTGGACAAATTCTGGCAATGGAATTGAGGACTAGACAAGGAGGAAACAGCTGAGATTCATTTCCACCTGCTTACAAAAGGAATGATTACAACACTGCTGAAATGTTGTTATTCCTTGCGGCATTGTTGCCACATAACTTGAAAGTTTGATGTAACTCAGGACTTGAATGAAAAACAGAGCTCTGTGCAATTTACTGATGAGAGGAAAAAGATTTTGTCAACTGCGGAACAAGTAAGTGATGATGACCATTTAGCCTTTTATCCCTCTAATGCCCAAATACCCAAAGATCCACAGATTAAAACAGTATCTCCCAAATATCAAAATTCAACCATCTGAAAAGCAAAGCTATTCTTTTTTTAAACTGAAATGAAATCACTTGCTCTGAAGATTTACACTTTTTTCTTTTTTTAACGGACATCAAGGTCTTGATCTCAATGTTCAATCTACAGGTAGATTAATTTCATTGAAATTCTGCATAGGTATAAAGGCTGAAAAGTAGACAAAACACATTCTAAAATGAGACCTCAAGCTTAAATATTCCTAAGTGTAATATGGTTACCCACCGTATATCAATCAACAAACTTAACCTTTCAATGGGCCCTATGAAAGAGGAATATACCACATGCATTTTACAGAACAGGAAGTAATGTGCAGTATACATCAAGGTATTTATTCATAGTCTCTGCGGGAACACGAGGAATTAAGTCAATTTCCAACCTAATTTTTCTGATTTTCAAATTAGTGAGTTAGGTAGACTAATAATCTCAGATCCTTTTTCCACCACACCAATAAATACTGAATATATGACCTGAACTTAGAAACAAATACCATTTCAAAAATGCACATTTTAGCTGGGGAAAAAAAAGCTGAAACATCCTAATTTCTGATACTTTGAGAGTTGGGATTAAAATAGATAATCTTTTGTAATGGCCTTCTATTCCTCCAGGGAGCCTGCTTCCCATGTCCCAAGGAAGGATGCCCACTGATGGGTCATTATGCTGATAAGTTTTCACATAAAACTGGAAAAGAACAGCAAAAGGTTTTTTTAAATACAGGACCCCTCCCTCCATATGCTCGTAAGTGCTCATTTTGGGTAATGCAAATGATGCTCATTTCTAAAGTGACAATGAATTCTATATGAACAAATACCTCACACGTCTACAGAAATCCACTACAGTTAGTGAGTGGGGCTCAGTATAAAATCTAGAGTTTCACATATTTTAGGAAAATGTGTTATCAACTTTATCCAGGAAATGCTGAGATAATTACAGGAATAGATCAACTGATGCTGACCTCTTTTGAATTAAAAGCTCTGCTAAATTTTGTTAATTAGGTGATGACTTTGAAAATTCTATAAAGCTGCAGGTGGGAGGAGTTTTATGCTGAAAGCACAAAATTTTGAAGCAAAAATTTACATTACTGTCATAGAAAAGAATGTATAAAACTAGATGATTTCAGGGTATTTTTGTAAAGCTCATCAAGTCGTAATGGCAGGGAGTAATAAGGAAGTATAGTTTTAATCTGTGAGTAACGTAGAAGCAGCCACAAAATAAGAAATAACAAAATTCATAAATAAGCTATTATCCATCACAGACAATGAACTGTAAAGGCAATAAATGAGGTAAGGTCTTTGAGGACCTTATGCACTAAGCACTAGAATATGAAAGCAAAATTAAGAAAAAATTTATATCACATCTTGAGAAGAGCAAAATTGAAAACAAAATGAATTTGAATGCAGAAGAATTAACCATTTCCTCAATCTGAATGAACACACTGATTTCAATATCTAAAAACTGTTGAGCTTATATAAATTATAACCTGAAACCAAATACAATTTTTTTGAAGCAAGTGAAGAGAGTTTCCTTTTAATAGCCCAAATTAAAGCCCATGTAAAAACTTTCCAAATCTGGTTGCTGGAAAATAATTTTTACTATTGCATATTAGGCCCTACTTCTGCTTTAGAAAGGTATGTGAGAAGACAGAATCTTCTGAGCAGTGCATAGGTGTAAAAAAAACCTTAAACACTGTACATCAGGACGATTCTGGGAATGTTGCCAATATTGTTTAATACACCTTTAACAACATAGTGGGCCAGTGGACATCACTTCATAATCCAGAGCTAATATGCTACCCATAAGACCCTCCAAATTGCTCATAAGTGTAAGAAATTGTGAAATGAATACTGAGGCCAAGTAGAAGAGCAAAGTACAGTATTGACCATCACAGATTTAATTCTCAGCATAGCCAGCAGGCTGGCAAAGGTTGGATCTGTGATTCAGACCAGTGTCAAGGTAATTAGTATTATCAGAAAACCCTACAGAACTAACATTTGCTCTAATAGAGAGAGTGACATTTTGTATGCTCATGAGCACATTTGTATAATCCTCTCCTCCCCCTGAAAAACATTGAAACATATGAAACATTTTACCATTAGGAAAGAAATCTCCACATAACCATAATCTATTTCACCTTGCTTTGAAAGGCTGGCGAAAAGAGATATGTGTCAGAGTATCTGCAACAGAAACCGTGAAGGGAAATATAGATGTAGCCTTCAATGGAATTAACGGGATCAGGAGAAAATATACAATTGACAAGTAAGTTTAACATGACAGTTGAAAAAAATGACTGTAACAACATTATTATATTGAACGCATACACAGGAATTTTTACATGTCTCATCTTGTTCTATTTGACCTTACCTATGACTTACACTGGTAATAAAAGTTAGCTGATAAGTGATTACAAGTTCCTCATGCTACCGACTGTGATCAAAATATGCTTGCCGATCTTTCTTACTCTGCATTTTCTTTTCTGAGGATGACACTTAGCATAGCATAGAAGGTAATGAGCAAGGAGGCTTGTGACTTGAGAGTAGGCTACTTCTGGACTCAAATATGTCATTTGGTGATTTTCGCTGAGAAGACAGAAAAAGGGCTGTATAATGTACAATCATTTAAGACCGTTGACCTCTCCTCTAGGGCATATGAAACAGCAAGTAAGAAAGTGGCACCCTGCTTAAGAATTGTGCTGGGGTCTGGAACTCCTGTCCGCTTAGCCTGGCCTTTTCCAGTAAATCTGAATTTAAATCTAGTAAGTTGATTGTTGTCAAGAGCACAGTCTTAACTGTTGTAAAACTAACCTTCTCTGTGTTTGAGCACTGCCTTCTTACTGGTCTATACCAGAAATAGATATGGTTGCAAATACACTGCTGCAGCGATACAACTACAGGTAATTTCTGTGTTAATTTCACACTGTGACATACATTCAGCTATAATGAACACAGATGCCACAGAAGACAGGGATGTGACTTACATTTTTCAATTTCTTTCATAGCTGATACCAAGTAGAAACACTGGGAGAACTTTTTGATTTTGTCTCATTTAAAAATAAATCTCATTTTCCAAAAATGTAAACTAGAATAAACCTGTTGCCAACACAGATGAAGACTGTACTAACTAATCTAGTATTATCATCCTGAAAGGCATAGAAAATTAAACAACTAACTCATTTGCATGCTTTTGTAGATCCTCTCTGATTAGCTATCTGCTCCTTAGGTACTAACATGCCTAGACATTGGATTGATAGGTTGAGTAAGACTACTAGAGAAACTATGTTGCCTTAAGCAATTTTCCTAGCTGGAAACTGGCCCACAGATTTCAGGCAAAGGGGAAAAAAAAATAATTACTCCTCAGAACTCCCTCCTCGTGTTCAGGATTGATCATGCTGGGAGAGATGGAGTAGCCTCAAAACAACCTCTATAGCTGCAGGGAAGGCCTAGATTGCAACACTTATTTGAAAGAAGAAATCAGCCAAAACATCAGTAAGACATTCCTTCCTAATCCATACAAAAATGGTTAAGTGAAAAGGGTATGATACATATATTTTTCGATCTTCCCTTAAATTTGCCAGAGAAAATACAGCTAAAAATGCTCTAGATGTTTAAATCTTGCATAGTCCACGGCAAAGGCTGTGAGAACACAGAGTAGCCATCACTGATTTGTTAGGAATTATATTATTCATATTCTATTTCCCTAATCTAAACACCTTTAGCAGTACACACAAGATGTCAGTTGTCTTCCTTTTCTTCTTTATACTCCCTGTGGAATTTTTTCATGCCCACTCAAGTTGGATATCATTTCATATTTGAAATTATTACAAATCTACAAGTTCTTATAACTTACTTAGTCCCACTAAGATCAAACGGGGAGCTACTGTCAAGTTTTAGTCCAATGTACCTCTTACATATATTTGAATGTTGAATGCCTGATCTGTGTATTTATCACTATCACTCAGATTGTTTATCTATCAGATAAGGATTACAGTATTTGCCTATATGACATGACTGTTGTAAAGTTCAATTATTTGTTTGTTGAGTATTTCAAGAATTTTGGTTGATCTACATCATGTTAAGTGCAGGTTATTACTACTGTACTACGTCATGTAAGTGCAGGTTACTACTGCTACTACATTTCCATTCAGCCTCCAGCTAACTTCTGAGTTTGCAGTTTCAAGGAGAAAGATGTATTTCACTACCTACCAAGATTTCAGGACTGAATCTGGCAAGGGCTTCAGCAATGCTTTCTGCATTTTCAAAGCACAGAGAAGGAGCTATTTCTTCACACAACAGCTAGCTAAGTTGTGGAACCTCCTGCCCCAGGAAACTGCATGTGCTAAAAGTTCACATGGGCTCAAGAAGAAACTGGATAAGTTCACAGAAGAGAAATTCATCACAGACTGATAAATGCACAGACAGTATCTCTGGTTCAAGAAATTCCTGATACACAGATTGTTGGAGGAAGCAAGAGTATTTGGGGAAAGTATTGCTATAAACACAATCCAGTCTCATAGTCTTCCCGATGCCTTTGCTTTAACCTAGCCTTTGAGTAAGGACACTGGACCAGAGGGATGTTTCATCTGACCCAGTAGGGCTGTTCCTATTACATTGTTGTCCAAATAAAAATTTGATATATTTTACGTATGAAAATCTAAGATCCAAAGACATTATCACCTTGTAACATGACTTTGACAAGCCAGCAGAGAGGGCAGAACTTGATATTTCTGGATTTAACAGGTGATCCTGTACTGCCAGAGCTGAAGGACTTGGATCTGCATGGGGTTCTGAAATAATGTAACAAAATTATAACAATGGTGTTCAGAACTTCTACTCACTGCACCTCATCTCCCTTTTTGCCTAACCTGTTTTACGTAGCAGCTTTTTTCCTCATTTTTAAAGAACACAGAGCATCACTTTTGTGCTTTTCCTTTGGCAGGGGAACTTTCAAACCAGGCAACACATATTTGAACTATATTGATACAGAAATTTCTGGGAACATTTCAAAAGTTGAGTTTCTCTGGAAAAATCATCCAGGTCATTTACATAGAGGCTGCATGGGAGCTGAAGAAGTCACAATAATATCTGGGAAAAATGGAAATGTGTGAGTACACAATCTCATTGTGTTTTGTTCTATGGCTCTAGGAAAAAAAAAAAAACGGAAAAAAATGCAAACACCTTTGCATGGTAACATGTTCCTTAAAGGAAGTGGGTTTAACTAATGAAAATAAGAGTCTAATCCACATTTCCTGGGAGTATATGGGTGTTTGGTTGACTACAGTTACCTCCACCAACTCAACACTGCAGCCGGACTTCCCCAAAGAACGGGAGATACCAGATCTGGAGTGTTGAGTGTGGGGTAGCCCACTTGAGCTGCTCTTCTGAACTGCAATTTCATATGCTCAGGCTACAGCTACATTAGCAAGTAGCATAGCACATTAGAAGCGGCTCTGCACAGTGAAGCATTCTCTATGTTTTGGCAAGGTACTTTAGGCTACCTCTAGTCTGATCCCATGGGTTGGACACCCACTAGCACCTGGAGTATATTAGGTACACCTCTGGAGCACATATCTCAAGTTTAGTTTTATCTTAAATGAATCCAGCTCATGTGCTCCGAGACCACTCTGTCATGCAAACCAAAGTGTGGTCAGTGGGAGCTGAGAGAGTCTCTTCAAAAGCACACTCCTTGTCCAAACAAAAATGCTAATGCAGTCTCTGCATAAAGGTAAACATATCTTAGGTTTGAATAATTATATACTAACTAGCATTAAAAAATTCCTTGAAATACACATAAATATACACATATTTATATTTGTAGGCTACCAGAACCTGTCTTGTGGCCTAACATTAAATAAAAATAAGTTTTATATTTGTTATCTGGGGTTCCTGCTATGAAAATGTCACATTGTGCCGAAAAATATTTACTTAAACTTTTCTTTCATTGTCAGGTCTACATTTTGTGGCCATGGAACTGTGCAGCCAGGCACATGGCAAACCCTGACACCTTGCTAAGACTTCAGTGAGAGCACTGTGTTTGTCCAGTGTGGGAACGTTCACAGCCTAAAGAAAACAATTTTTTCAGTCAGTGGCAAACCATTAACAAGGCTCCTTCAACAGGTATCAACAATTTGCTTGGTTCTCTACAAAAGTTTTATTTCCAAATTAATGCTTTCAGCTGTCATCCACAAAAAGGAGTTATGCTTCTGTGAAGTTCCAGTTACAATGACACCTAGCAGGTATTTTACCAGTAATACACTCATGCAATTTGATTGTATTTCAGAATAAACGGGGAAAATACTAAAATAGGGAAAAGAGTCCCCCAGCCAATTCTCCTTTGAAATATACTGAGTTACCGTCGAAGCCATCAAGGAAAAAAATAAAATAAATAGTGTCCTTTTCCTGAATAACTAAGCAGGCACTTTCATGCTTTCTGGAGCATCTGATTGCATATCAGGAATCCGAGGAATAATTTTAAATATAAAAATATTCGGAGCTTGAACGGCATTGCCTTATTAGAGTTCTTCCTTCCTGAAGAACACGTTTAAACCAACATTTAAGCAGCATATCCAGAAGAGTGCTCAGGAACGAGGACTACGTCCCTAGTTGTACGGTTTACCATGAGAAACTACCATCAAAGTTCACCATATGTCAAGCAAAATAGCTTAATGTAAAGCAAAATATTTGATTGTTGCCTTTTTCTTTGGGAACAACTCATTGACCAGGTCTATGCAGCTCTGCTGTACATGGGGTAAGCTGGAACTCCTTCTCTAAAACTGAAACAGGTACTTCCTTTATCAAAACAATGTTGCTTGATTCAGGCTGTTAAATTTCCTGGCAGCCTTGCAAATAATTATTTTCTCTTTACCAGTGAACCTGGACTTCTCACCTGTAGCTTGCCTTTCTGAAGCCTTTTAAGAGATATAAGCTTTTAAGACATATCCCATGATTTTAGGGATACTAACTCAGATATTTAGGATCATGGTTATTTTCCCTGCATAAAGAACATATTATACCACATTCTGTGGCACAAACCTCTTCTCCACAAGAATTCTGATCATACTGAAGCTAGGCCTGAGCTGCATTGCTTGTACTACCTATAGCATCGCCCTTCCAAATGTGGTAGCATTTAACAAAATCAAACTACCCAGAGTTACTTATCAGCATTAGCCAAAATAAACCAAGTTAAGGCTGTTTCTTTTTCAATACTAACCACAGGTTTATCATTTGGGCACAGAAATCCTATGTATGAATCACGTTTGGCAGCTCTATTCAACTCATCCTAGCAACTAGCTGTTCCAGAATACTTCCAATGAGGTTTATCAGAAGGCGTTAATGAGATCAGTTACACAAGGCCAAACATGAGTGATGAATAGGTGTGTTTGAAATTAGGCAGCAATAATTTTGAGATGTCAGCGTCCAGTCACCTCTTTTGTGAAGTCTGCCGGAGCACCTTGCTTAAGAAGTTTGCTGTAAAGTTGATAAATCAGCGGGCCACTTTCTCAGACACGTTCCTTTAGTACACTTACCATCTCCACCCAGGTGCAAAGTAGGATCCAGAAACCATCACAAGCAGGGAACTCTTCCTCCTTTACCCCTTAGGAGTACGACTTAGGCAAGACCCCCTTCTTGGATCTTTGGATAGTTTCTAGTCTGGTTCAGGGAGAGGAAGGCACTCCCTCTTCTGTTCTCCCTGAGAGAAGTACAGAGCCAACCCCCAGAAGGACTTCTGCATCATTGGGAAATATCTCTAGTTAGTAATTACACTATTGTGAACATCCTTTATAAATCAGGCATAGCTCTCTGCCCCAGAACTGCACAAATAAAGCAGACTAAGTGAGGGGGAAAGGAAGACTTATTATCCTTTACTTAAACGCAGCAACGCAAAAGAAATCTAAATATTTACCTCAGGTCACCAAAAAAAAGTGTGCCACAGGGTCAGGAACTGTATTGGATCATCTGATTTTATGACATGAGAAATCAGTGTGAATAGCATAATGTTAGCCACTGCTTCTCACAAGAAGGAAGCAATGCCCTGTTCAATCCAAGACTTTTACAAAGCACAATTCCTTCTTTTTTTTTCTTCATACTTGGTTCTGCCATTCTTGCAATTCTAAAAATTAATTTGATGGTTTTATGAATGGATAAATTATATTCTCCCTTTAAAAATACATACTTTCATTTTGTTTAATTGTAAGCCATTGATTTCAACAGCTTTCTGAGGAAATGTAATGACACACACGGGTTGATGAAATCTACTATAAATGAATTCCAACTGATTAAATTGCTTAAAAATATACATTTTCTCACATGATCAGTTCACCTAAAAATAAAATATTGCATTACTTTCTTCCCCTTTTCCTGTCATCACTTTGCAATTTTATTATATACTGTTTCTTGAGTTAATTTTCCTTCTTCAGTATAGTAATCGTCAACACTGAACTACTGTGCTTTCTGGCTAATACCACTATAGATAACTCAGAAAAACTTAACTCTCATGAACTATGAACAAATATCGAAAAGAACTGTGCATTTTTGGTACCAGTTAGTCCTCTTTCCTTGTGCTCTTTTTCGTATTTAAAGCTTAACACTGTAACTTGGTATTGAAACTCTTGGTACCATCACTTCATACTGTTGGAGCCAGTCCAGAAAATGCAAGAGTCTGATATTTCACAAGACAATTTGCCTTTATTAAAGACTGGAACAGGTAATACTTTCATATCTTCATGGCAAGGTAAGCCTGCTTTTTATAATTTAAATTACATCTTTAAAATGTCAAGTGATCTGTATTATTTCATAGGGTTTGCTGCCATGTTGAATGGTAGATTATTTTTTTAGCAGATATGCTTTTTTGTCTAGGGTTTTTAAGGACTTACTTTGATTTTCATTCGGTCTTTCAAATTATGTAAATATTCTGTAATTCTATGAGTGCTTCAAAATTACAATACAAATTTCATTCAACACTTAAGCATTTCTCTTGCTGCAAAAATTATGCCAGAGGTAAATTAATAACAAAATCATTATAAAGCATTCCATCTTAGTGCCTTTTCTCTCCTATGACACTCTTTTGGTAGTGGGGTAAGGTAAAACCAAAAAACCTAAAACTTTTAGACCTTCTATTGAAGAAAGGAAGAACAATAATAAATAATACATAATACTATTTGCTCCACCTATATCATCTGTTTTCACTTTATACGTAAGACCAGAAGAACTAATTTTGGAGAAACAGGATTTTTTTTCAGAAAGTGATACATACAGATATGCTGCTGAGAAAGTAGGAGCCATTTATGAGAATTCTCCATTATCAGGGGTAAAATGCTATATTGCATGGCACAGCAGTCTTTCTTCATTCCTAAAAGCATAGTCTATCAAAAAGTGCCTCTCATAAATATTTGTGAACTCAAAATCAAGTACATACATAAGAAAAATTTAAATCAATTAAACAGAACTACCAGGTAGAGACTGAGATGTTCAGTGTATGCACTCATCTCTCTCTTCACTTTTGAGCCTATTTATTTAAGTGACTATTCAGATGCTTTCATGCTACTCTAATATCCTAGACTATATTGATACTTGCTCTCCTCTCTTACAATTCCTACTGGATATTTTTATAGTGAAATTTACCTTCAATTCCCCCACTCTTTTCCCTCAATTAAAATTAGTGATTTTCCTACAATAGGTTCTAATCCCAAAACATGTGCCTGTTAGGTAGAAGGAAAAATAAAATCTGTTCTCTGGAACAGGGTTTTTGCTGACACTTTGACCCAGCCAGGCTATTCTGTATAATCCTGGGCTCTAACAGTTACATTTGGCATTCTCCTAGAACAGAAGCAAAAATGAGAAGTTTTGACTGTGCATCTCAGACACTTCTTTGAGTGCTTCTTCCACAGTCAAAGCTGACTGGGGTTCAGGTTGCCACCGGGAGGGTAAACAATTGCTCACTGACTTATTGACAAGTCTATCTCCACGGACTCTCTTCCAAACTCATGGCTGTCTTATTCTTCCTTTTTGCTAACAAAAGTATCAGGGACTCAGTGTCCAGGCTGCTTTAAGCTATGGTGATTTCAATACTTAGGAAGCATAAGTTGATAGTATGCCCAGATATATTTCTATGGCATATTTCCAGGATAGAGGAGAGCCAAGAATGTTTTTTATGTGTAAGTATCAAGGGACTCAAAACCTCTGGAAGGAACATGTATCATCACTAGCCTTCACACAAACAGACCACACCTGCATTGCTATGCTACACAAAACACACCTCTCTCCTCCCAACTACCATAAGATTGGATGGGGCAAGACATCTTACAACACCAGAAGCATAAGCAATGTGTAAAAAAACAGACTGATATTGGATC